TAATAGGTTGGTGTGTAGTATAAAATATGACATATTATACCAAGACTGGAAAAACTTGAAATGTACCACATTTAAAACCAGGAAGTTACAAAAAATTCAACTGTTTAACACTGATCGGTATCAGTGCCTGATCGACAAAGCACGGGTAGATATGACTACATATTTCCATTAATATGGTGCTTAGCTATTTTACGCTGGCATGCAAGACCCGTTTTGCTGCAACCCAGTCTGTGTTAAATGGTTGTTAATAATTAAGAACAAACAAACCAACATTACCTGACAAAAACAGAAAAGCTTTTGTTATGAAAGGTCAGCAAATAAGATCTAGGTGCCCCGTTTCACAATTATATTGCTTCATTAAGGTTTATAAAAAAATAAATTACTTTGAAACTGTGGGCTGGTCAAGGAAAAGCAAGATCCTCTTTGGACCAAGATTATATTTAGGCACTAGTTACACACACATGGGTTTGAATAAAGGCTGACTGCCAGCATCTGTTTAACTGGTTAGATTCTGTACTGTAGGCTACAGTCAGCCACACAAAGATGATACTACTTATTGTAATTCATTTTTTTCTATAGAAAAATATAAAACGAAACTTGTCTCAGTTTAGAACAAAAAGAGTTTTAAATACCACAAGGAGTAATTTGAAGCTTAAACAGGAGGACAACCACCAACATCACCGGATTAAAGCACTGATACAACTGTGAGGAGTGTGACTGATTTACTCAAGAATTTTACTGTAATTCTATCTCATACCACTTTTAGCTTTTATGTCACTGTATTTTGGATGAAAATACTGTACTTATTCCAGATTATTTGAAAGCTTTAGCTGTCTGTTATTTACAGATAATGGCATCATTATCAGTCAGGCTATTCAGCAATATATAAGTACTGTTAAATCACCGAGTTCTTTAGATTCCTCAGAGGCATCCGATGGAAGACAAAACACTGCCGCGGATCTCAAAATGGTGGTGTGCCCCTACCAGTTTTATTGCAGGGCGTTCCACTCTAGTCTAAACAAAGGTGTTTCACAGGCATTCAGTAGTTTTATTGCACAGCATACTCATAGGTTATTGTGTATTGGATGCAAAAACATCTTTTCTCAGCCCTGGTGAGGCTGTGTCCTTGCCAAAACCAGAAAACAGTTCCCTGTTATGTCTATTTTGCAGCCAAGCGTAGGCGAGTCTCTCCTGCACGTGTGAGAGAGTCTCCTATATTCTATCACCAAAGGACACATAGTCTAATGCCTTTATTTTTCAGGGCTGTGTCCACTTAATACTATACTGTATAACTTTATAACACTTATTAGTAAAAAGCATAGCATTATTGAGGCACTGCAAATTATTCCAAACAGTCCCAACAATCCCAACAATATGCAAAACATGAAAAGGATAAATTATATAATACTTATTTAATACTGTATATAATAAAAAATGCTGTTCTATACGAGTGCTATATGAGTATAGTAAATGTATTTTGATTACAAAAGATGCATTAATAAGTCTAAATGTTTTTTTATACTTTGGAAAGTAATTATCTAATACAAAATTATATTTAAAGTCTTGTTCAGCCCCATTTGTCACATAATAAATCTGTAATAGAACAGGGCTGCAGCTGAAAAATCACACCCTTACTTACATTCTTTCTTTGCCATTTTTCTGGAAAATATATGGGTTAAAAATTAAAAAAGGAAACTAAATAACAGTAATTTGTACTTTAAAAACAAGACAATCCTTGAAAACCTGGGTCACCTTTGCAAAACCAGCATGCAGCTATATGCATAATGGGTTGCATATAGTTGTACACTCAGAAATGTAGCCACATGTATGATAGTGCAAAAATATCTGTCTTAGATGACATAGTGTAAAAAACAGGATTGAATTTGCATTTCCTTTCCAGTTTTTGAATTAGATCATGATTTTAAAACTACTGTAGGTACACAAGCTGAAGTCTGACAAATCTGCCCATATGCTCCAAAATCAGCATCTTCAGTTATCCTGCCAAGATGCCAAAATGTGGTTGTATATATGTGGTTGTACATTAAACTTTTTGTTTTGGTGTTAAATAGAACCCTTCTTAGACTTGAAGTATTTGAATCCTTCAGGCCTCCCACTGTATATATTTATTTTGACATCCATGGTATCTTGTAATATTAGAAATGTGATACTAGTTTCAATGTAAACACTCTGGACATGAGACAAGTCGGGACAACTGGAAATTCAAATTGCTTTCATGAAGTACATTGTCGTTGGACTCTTAGAGGTGATTACAGGAGACCTTTACAGTAAATCTGTTCATGGTGTTGTTAACACATTTTGCAGTAATTGTAGGAGCAAAGAGTGATTGAAATACAGTGCCTTAAAAAGTTTTCATACTCCTTGAACTTTTACAAATGTTTTCAACTTATAACCAAAAACTTGGTTTTTGTTTTTTTTTATTGAGATTTTGTGTGAAAGACCAACACAAAGTAGCACATAAATGTGAAGTGGTATGACATTGTCTTGCTGGAGGGTGAATCTTCCTCCCAGTCTCAAGTCCTTTGCAGCCTCCGGCAGGTTTTCTTCCAGGATTGCCCAGTATTTAGCCCCATCCATCTTCCCATCAACTCTGACCAGCTTCCCTGTTGAATTTCTCCTCCAGACTAACCATGAGCCTCTCTGACCAGTGCCGTCCTTGCTTGGTCTGTCAGTTTAGGTGGACGGCCATGTCTTTGTAGGTTTGCAGTTGTAGCGTACTTTTTCCTTTTTTGGATGATGGATTGAACAGCACTCCTTCAGATATTCAAAGCTTGATTCCATTGGATTTTATTAAAGGGGTATCAGAGTTCAGGAGGATGAATATAAATACATGCCACACTTTTCAGATTTCTATTAACATAAAATTTTGAAAACTATGTGTAATTTTCATACCAGTTCACAATTATGTGCTACTTTGTGTTGGTTTGTCACAGAAAATCTCAATAAAAACATTGAAGTTTTTGGTTGTAAGGTGACAAAATGTTAAAGTTGAAGGGGTATAAATACTTTTTCAAGGCACTGTATGCCAAATTTGTCTGTTAAGAAGTTAATCTTACATGTAAACCACTGTATAAGGAGCACTTCTTCACTTCATTAGGGTTCGAGTGGAGGTTTACCAGATTTCATCTGTTTACGCATGTTGAGCATGTACTGCGGAAGGAAGACAGTCTAATATCACTTTTATATTTTCCAACCACAGAAGACGCTGCCATCAAAGACTACATCCTCAGTGTCTGATGAAGACTAGCTGGCACACAGTATTTGTCATGTTGGTGTGAATTAAGAAATGAGAGGAGCAGCTATGAGTTTAAGTGCAGCAGCCAGTGGATTTGTTCTCTTCCTTCTCTCACTAACAGGTATTGTGTACCCTTATATTTGATTTATATCTGCAGTTACACCCCGACACCAGAGCTCTTTCTGGCTGTCACACATCCACCATCTGCAGGAATTACATATACATGTTTGCATTTGTTTTCTACTTACATTTTTAATGTTTTTAAATAGGTATTTAGCAAATAAATACAGATGCTGTGCAGTGTTGGGTGTAATGCCTTACTAAGTAACGCGATACTGTAATTAAATTACTTTTCCACTGAAAAAGTAGAGTAACTAATTACTGTTCATTTTTAGGTATTTTAATTACTTACAATGTACTTGCGTTACATTGTAAAAGAATTAAACTCGCTGAATATCATTATTTAATTTCAATAATTTATCTTCTAAACGTAAAAGTAAACTCTGCCGCTTTAACATCGCTGTAGTGCAGGTGCACGTCATTTCGCGGCTGAAGCGAGTGGCTGTTCTTTGAAATATTCCCGTCTCTTCACTTTTCTGAAACAAGCAGAGAAGAATATTACAGTGATATGTAAGCTATGTCCTGGGGAGAAAAAACTATCGGCTGCTGTTAATAGCACATCTACTGAAGCGCCTGACACGAAGACGAACACTTCTGAGCGATCCTTGTTCATCATCCATGGATAACACCGCGGCAACTCCTGCTAAGCAGGAAAACGTGATTTTACTTCAGCAGCACAGAAAGTGTCTGAAGGTGAGCTTAAAAAAATGATTGCAGGCTACATTGTGGAAGAGATGCTACCGCTGCGTACTGTAGAGTCTCCGTCTTTAAAAAAAAGTATTTATTATTTCTATTGTTTGCCCACTCAAGGTTTATAGCGATTTTAAGAAGTATTTAGTTAAATTACTTATTTAATGATTAAGTTACTTTTCTGACACAGTAATTAGATAAGTATTTTAAATGCAATATTGACTAAGTAATTAGTAATTAGTAATTAATTACTTTTTAAAAGTAACTTACCCAACACTGATGCTGTGTGATGTGTACAAACACTGCAGATATTATATATACATGCGTTTAGAAAAACACAGAGTGGTTTCCACTTTTCACATTCTCAGTAACTTCACCATGACACTTAACATTATAAAGCTACAGTATGTCTGTATTATACAGAATAAGTAGAAGTAACAGCTGATGCATTAACTGTTATAATTTACTTTCTATAATATGTATTTAAGTATAGTAATAATTTTTAAAAAATACTACTATATATATCGTTGAATTACAGAGAGAAAAATTCTGAGACTAATACAAATTGTGTCATAAAAAAACAAACAATTTTCTGTTATACTTTGTTGTCAAGTAGTATAAATAGATCATTTAGATAATTTAAAATGTGTAAAACTCAACTGTATCTATTTATATTCTAAGATATTCGTTTCGTTAGGTTAATTGATTAATCTAAATTGTCACTAGGTATGAATGTGCGAGTGAATGCGAGTGTGAATGGTTGTCTGTCCCTATGTGTTAGCCCTGCGACAGACTGGCGACCTGTCCAGGGTGTACCCCGCCTTTCGCCCTATGACAGCTGGGATAGGCTCCAGCACCCCCCGCGACCCTGAAAAGGATAAGCGGAAGCGAATGGATGGATGGATGGATATTCGTTTCATTTGGCTGAGAAAAACAGTTGTTAAATATTTTTTATAATAAAAATGAAGCACATACTTCATTTTTTCCATTGTGTGAATTTCTCCCTATATGCAGTGGGTAACATAAGTATTGAACACGACACCAATAACTAAATATATTTCTAAAGGTGCTATTGACATGAAATTCTCACCAGGTGTTGGTAACAACCGATCCAATCCAAACATGCAAAGAAATCAAACCGTAGGTGTTCATAAATTATGTGTAATAATGAGAAATGACTCAGGGAAAAAGTATTAAACATGCTTACTGACATATTTAATTCCTCAAACACAATTCTCACGATTTTAGTTTAAATAACACAATATCGGTTTATTAAATCCTGAATTGATTTTTAAATATAAATTTATTTTGCCTGAAATGCCAGAATCTCGGGTTAAAGCTCACAAAACTATTTCAACAACCAGGGCTGTGCAGAGAGGTTTAAAGGGGCGGGTGCTCAAAGTTAAAAAGGGGCACATTGAACCAGGCTGAATAACAACA